TGCCAAACGGTGTGAAGGTATCGCTCTTTTTTTCTTTTTTTTCTTTTTTTCTTTATCAGGTACGACGGTGCCAAGATAAAAAATATAGAAAAAAAAGAAAAAAAAGACATGCACAAAAGACAAACATCATGGCGGTGCATCTTTCCATGTTCTATGGGAAGATTCTACGGGAATATTCAGTGGAGGGAGGGCGGTCCAGTACTCTCGAAATGTGCAAAACGAGAGTGAATCTTCCCATAGAACATGGAAAGATGCACCGCCACGAGACACCAAGGATAACACGCCATACGTCATGAATTTTTTTTATTTTTATTTTTTAAGGGCGATGCCTTGAGGTATTATCATCGGACTAACCAGCCCAGGTAAATTTAATCATGTGTCTAATCTGGCACCGGGGGCTAGGTCTCACTTACACGAATTAAGCGATATTGACCGTAGATAGAAAGGATAAACAGCGTGCAAGTGGGACCTTGCCCCGGGTGGCCTTTTCAGCCCAGGGTGGCCTGAGAGCCTTAGGGTGGCCTGATAGCCTTCAGGGAACCCCCTACCGGGGGACACCGGCCAGTGGACAGCCGGTAGCAGAGGGACCGAGCATCATCTGAGTGGCCAGTCGCTCTGCCTCCCTGAGTACCCCTCCCTTAGAACTCTTAGAAAGAAAAAAAAAAAGAAAAAAAAAAGAAGAAAACGAAAGTGGGTTGTTGCCAGCACATGTATCCCCTTAGGGCCACTGTGTTGTTCTCAGCCCGTGTATCCCGTTGGGTCCCTGTTTCCCTGTTGCACAAAAGACAGAAATTATGGTGCTGTATTTTTCCATGCTCTAAGGCAGATTCACTCTCGTTTTTCATAATTCCGAATCAATCGTGGAAACAGAGTGAATCTTCCGCTGGAACATGGAAAGATACAACGCCACGATCTTTTTTTTTTTTTTTTTTTTTTTTTTTTTTTTGGAAAACGGCCTGCCCGTCCGACGTCGATGACTAGACTGCAGTTACAAACTCTGCCTTACGACAGGCAGGCGACCGAGGAGTTTGGACTGCAGTGTGAACTCCGGAGGGGACTGGACTCCAAAACGGTCGGGAAGGGTAGTTTTTTTTTTTTTTTTTTTTTTTTTGCGCACGGAAACGGCCCTATGGCATCCCCTGTCCTCTTGCAACCCCGTGACGCCTCTTCGCTGATTTTTTGACGCGCGTGCGGGCCTTAAAACGCTTTGAGCGCTTTTGAATCGCGGCGCAGGGGACTTTAAGCATGTGCGCGCTTACACGGTTTCACAGGTTCCTGACTCAAGATATCCCACATTGTTTCTCAAATTCTTTGGGAAAATCATCTATTCCATGTGTCTTGTCTTCCTCCATTTGCATGAGGGTTATCCAGATCTCTTGTTTAGTAAGGGGGGCTTCAAGACATTCTCGTTTAGCATGGGAGAGGGACAAGTCCATAGGTGCCAGAATATCCTCTATCATTTGGTGACGAGTCTCCTCTACTGCCATCGGGATGTGTGTGTCACAAATAAGTCTTTGTGAAAGTCCTGGGTTATTTTGATGCACCTTGCCATTGTCCGAGCGGGCAACGCCTCGTCCGCTTCCGGGTCGTACAGGGCTTCGATGGTGGTTCGCTTCGCTTTCACTTGTGCTATGCCGAAAAAGTGTGCGTCCATTGCTCTCTTTGTTCTGTACTTTGAGAGTTTGGATCAGATTCTTGCGCCTTGTCCGCGGTATTGAGCTTGTCTCAGCAGTTGTTCCTTTAAATTTTGGGTACGACTGTTCCCTCCTGATCAAGGGGATCGTGTTTATACGGAAGTTCTTGCGTGCTCTAGTTCCAATAGTTGGGTCATTGTTTCAATTTCTTGCTGATGTCTTTGTACTGCCAAGTGTTTGGCAAATTCGTTGTTTTTTTTGGCGAGAAAAATAAGACCATTATTGAACCATGTGAATCTAGTTTTCGGCGTTGCTCCCTCCAAAATTCCCAGGCATGCCTTAGGTATTGTTGGAAGGATTTTAGATGCAGTAAGGACGTATTCAGTTTATAGTAATCGGGTCCACGATCGGGTTTCTTGTGGAAAGTCAGTGTGGTCATGCACATCTTGTGATCAAGACCAGGGAAGGGGCTTTAAGTTAGTGGAAGGATTGCCGCCATAGTCAAAGCCCTTCCAGCGTGTCTATCAGGAGAATCAGGTCTATTTGGGATTTTGATAACCTAGTTGGATCACTGTTTCTTATGCAACAGAAGACGCGTTCCATAGGATACAACTGTCTGAAGGAATAAAAAAGGGAAAGAGTGTCAAATACATTTTTTGACATCCGTTCATCCTCCTCCACATTCCCCACTGTGGATTGGCGGACCCTCTAACGATCGAGCCACCTGCCTAGAGCAGCATTGAAATCTCCAACCATGATCAAGGGGTTGCGGGATGCGTTTTGCTTGTAATCTTTTACAGGATGGTCATGCGCTCCTGCACTCAGTTAGGTGCATATATGCACATAATGTGCAACACCTCTTATTCTAACATACCCAATACGGGCACCCACCTACCTTCCTCTTTATCTGTCTCCCATTGGATCACTTCCAACCTTGAGTCTGGAAGGACCCATATTGCCACCCCCACTCGACCAGGCCCCGAAGAATATGCCTGATATGACTGGTATGACCACGCAAGTTTGAGGGTCCTGCGGTGGTTTGGCGTGTCCATTAAGTGTGTCCTGCGGTGGAAGGGGTGTGCAGACCCAGTAGAAGAGTGATGTGATCTATAGGGAGAGCTTTGTTGGTAATTGTATGCCAGAGTTCAGATGCGACTCTGTATTCTCAACTCATTCATGAGTCTGTATAGACTTCCCAACTCATTCCTGAACCGTCAGATCTATCTCTTGGTACTGGGTAGGCGTTACGGAAAAGCCTTAGAACTCACACCGTCAGCTCATAGCAAGAAGGGTAGAAATACCATTCAGCACCTACGGTACAACCCTACCTGAAGCATACCAAGGTCTAGAGGTCGTACACTAAGCTGGACTAAGATTTGGACCCCACTGGAAAAATGATAGAAAAAGTGGTCAGCCAAAAACAACAGGCAAAGGATTTTGGAAAGCCCGAAAGCAGTTTTGTCGGGACCACACTGCAGAGGACCAAATGCGGCAGCGGAAGAAGATCTCCAAATAGGTAAAGCTTCATTACCCTTGTTTCATCGGTAAAGTACGGCCGCGACAGCGGGAGAAGATCTTCAAATAGGTAAAGCTTCAATACCCTTGTTTCATCAATAGAAACGGCCGACGGTATGGTTTAAGAGTATGCATGTCCTTGGTGGGAAGGGTAGGTAGGTTGGTCGTTTTTGGCGTCGGAGTATGTTGTATCTGCAATTTTAGTGATCTGTTCTCTACTTCTTGAATCGCTGTTATATTCAGAAATTCGTCCGTTTTTTTGCGCGAAATAATTCTAGCTAATTTCTGTTCAACAGATTTTCGTTGACTGCTTCCTTGGTGAGTGATATTGCTTGAAGTGATCTTTCGTAAGTTTCGGTGGATTTCTATTTATATCTATTCATTGGTGGGTATGTTTCTTGTCATAATTAAGCATTTCTTATCATGATCACAATCACAACCACGATCAGAATTACCTTCTGGACTTTTGATATTCATTAGTCCAAGTTGGACATCCTGGATAATTTCTTATTCTTATCTCTAAATTCCATTTTCCAAAAGACCACAGATGATTTCCTCATTTGGTTTGAATTTCCATTCCTAAAATCTATGCTCTCGAAGTCATTTTCATTTGGAATAATTATAATTTTAAATCCCAGATCTGTCGTTCCTTTTTAATTCTAAAATTATAAAAAATATTTCAGATAGAATTCCTGGAATTCGTTTTTTATTACCATTTTCCAAAATTAGGCCTCTGAAGGAATTTCTGTCATAAAACTTAGGGGAGAGAAGCCGGGATTGGGGATGGAAGGCAGAAAGGGGTTCTCAACGGAGGAAGGTCGTCGGTCAAGGAAAGTAGGTTAGAAGGACGGTGTTGGGACGACAGAGGCCGGTGCTGGAGCTTGTGCTCTGTGACCCGGGGGGGAGCTT